CAAATGCATACCATGTTGTGGCGAATGTCTATCATGTAATGGCGAATGTGTTTTATGTTGTGATAAATGCATATCATGTTTTGATAAATGCAATCATGTTGTGGCGAATGCATATTATGTTGTGGCGAATGCTTATCATATTACGCCGAATGCCTATCATATTATGCCGAATGCCTATCATATTACACTGAATGCCTATCATATTGTGTCGAATACCTATCATGTTTTGACGATTGCATAACATGTTGTGGTGAATGCATATCATGTTGTGGCAAATGCATATCATGTTGTGGCGAATGTCTATCATGTAATGGCAAATGTGTTTCATGTTGTGATAAATGCATATCATGTTTTGATAAATGAAATCATGTTGTGGCAAATGCATATCATGTTGTGGCGAATGCATATCGTCTTGTGGCAAATGCCTATCATATTACGCCGAATGCCTATCATATTGTGTCGAATACCTATCATGTTTTGGCGATTGCGTAACATGTTGTGGTGAATGCATATCATGTTGTGGTGAATGCATATCATGTTGTGGCGAATGCCTATCATATTACGCCGAATGCCTATCATATTACGCCGAATGCCTATCATATTACGCCAAATGCCTATCATATTGTGTTGAATACCTATCATGTTTTGACGATTGCGTAACATGTTGTGTTGAATGCATATCATGTTGTGGTGAATGTCTATCATGTAATGGCGATTGCGTAACATGTTGTGGTGAATGCATATCATGTTGTGGTGAATGCATATCATGTTATGAATGCATATCATGTTGTGGTGAATGTCTATCATGTAATATCGAATGTGTATCATGTTGTGATAAATGCATATCATGTTTTGACAAATGCATATCATGTTTTGATAAATGCATATGTTGTGGTGAATGCATATCATGTTTTGATAAATGTATATCATGTTGTGGTGAATGTCTATCATGTCATGGCGAATTTGTATCATGTTGTGATAAATGCACATCATGTTTTGATAAATGCACATCATGTTTTGATAAATTCATATCATGTTGTGGCAAATGCATATCATGTTGTGGCGAATGTCTATCATGTAATGGCAAATGTGTTTCATGTTGTGATAAATGCATATCATGTTTTGATAAATGCAATCATGTTGTGGCGAATGCATATCATGTTGTGGCGAATGCATATAGTCTTGTGGCAAATGCCTATCATATTAAGCCGAATGCCTATCATATTGTGTCGAATACCTATCATGTTTTGGCGATTGCGTAACATGTTGTGGTGAATGCATATCATGTTGTGGTGAATGCATATCATGTTGTGGCGAATGCCTATCACATTACGCCGAATGCCTATCATATTATGCCGAATGCCTATCATATTACGCCGAATGCCTATCATATTACGCCGAATGCCTATCATATTACACCGAATGCCTATCAAATTGTGTCGAATACCTATCATGTTTTGGCGATTGCATATCATGTTGTGGTGAATGCATATCATGTTGTGGTGAATGTCTGTCATGTAATGGCGAATGTGTATCATGTTGTGATAAATGCATATCATGTTGTGGCGAATGCATATCATGTTGTGGTGAATGCCTATTATATTACGCCGAATGTCCATCATATTGTGTCGAATACCTATCATGTTTTGGCGATTGCATAACATGTTGTGGTGAATGCATATCATGTTTTGATAAATGCATATCATGTTTTGGTGATTGCGTAACATGTTGTGGTGAATGCCTATCATCTAGTAAAAATGAGTAGGATAAGACAGTCATGGCTTTCCATATGTACCAAGTATAAACATATTCCATCAATGCACAACTGAGATCTACAGGAATGGCGGCCATCTTGAATCTGATCATGAAACAAATGCATGTACATATCTGAATTTATAATATTTGACACATGTAAAATTTGAATTTCATCGGACCTGGGAGCATGTGTGAATATACAGACTGATGGATGCACAGAGGTTAATCCATAAGTCTGTGTTTTTGGACTGCATGTATCCAAAAGAAACTAGCCCATTATTTCTTTCTTCTCAAATGCACCACTGTATGTACATTGCATATTAAATTTTTCAACATCTCTGGGCATTATAATTGAAATAAAACTCTGTATATTGTTCATTATTGTGCCTTATAATCCACTACTATCAGAATTAGAGATTTTTCTGATGTCACTTCACATTATCACTTCACATTGATATATAATCGCAGGTATTATTATTAAAATCCACCTCAACAAAAAGCCCCCTAAGTTGACTAGATTTGTTTAATCCCAATAGTGGTGATTTATAAGAATCCTCCACAGTGTCATATTGAATTTGGAGCAGGGTTTAGATGCTTCACCTCACACATTATAGAGACCAATATGGCACTGTGCATGGGGACTCATTGTTAAATACTAGTAACAGGGCTTGATGGGAATGTTTGCTTAAAGCATGGTGGTCGTCGCACAGCGTGTTTTAAAATTATGTAAATAAACAATGTATTTTACATGCATTGTATACGTGGCTATGAGTCCCATATCGAACAGGATGCGGCATGGGATGCATTATTTAAAAAATTTTCAGTCTACCTTACACAACTACAATTTCAACAGATCTTAGAGCTTTTCAGTTTTAAATTATTCATAGATATATTCCAACGTTTTCAAAACTTTTTGAATGGAAGTTAGTAGCCTCCCCTCTCTGTGTTATGTGTCATGCAGAAATTGAAACCATAGAGCACTTGTTTGTGGAATGCC